GCAGGTAGTGACGATTCTCTCCGGCCAATCAGTGATCAGCAGAGTTTACACGTCACGTTTTGGTAACGGTACAGTTCGCTTGGAACCTCAACCGAGGTGGTACTGAAAAAAGTACCAGGTACCAGGTACTGTACCCAGTGGAAAACCCCCCAAAAGTGAACCATACCGAACCATACCGTGCCATACCATGCAGTGGAAAAGCGCCATTGGTGTTGTTTCCAAACAAAAGGAAATATATCGGTATCAGCATCGGCTATCGGCCAAAATTAGTTGAAAAATATCGTCATATCGGATATACTTATATACTTGTATATACTTATATCCGACTCATTTCATTCTGGGCCAAAAGCTTTAGCCCCCATTCTCTCTCCAGAGAGGTCGCCTGAATCAGCAGTACATTTTAGGCCTCATCTGGCAAATAAAAATCCATTAGTTCCCTTTTGATCCAGGAAATTGAGTGGATCATAATGGTGGAGGAGGATTTCAATGCGAAAAGCTTGCTTTGTCCCTCAAATGAAAATATATGAAGTCACAAAAAGTCTTTTCCATTAGTGTTTTGACAGTGGCGAGGGATGAGGATATAAGCAGCACTTAGAGTTAATGGCTGGATGAAAATGGGAATTTGGGAACTAAAAAGTTAATATAATATCTCATGATATTGAGATCTGGTGGCTGGGGCTTTTTTTAAAAAGCAGGACATCCTGTAGAGATCTCTTTAATTTCTCAATTTGTTATCTTGCATAAAAAAAGACCAAAGACCAAGAGACCAAATTTCGCATTTCAAAATGAACTCAAACATTTCTCATCAGATTATTTTAAGACCAAATAATATAAATTATGATATCCACATTCATTTTATCGTGCTATTCTCTGTCAACAAAGTTGATACTTAAATGAAACCCCATTCAGTTACCAGCAACCTTTGAGCAATACAATTGCCCTCTGTGTTTGTTAGTCACCTACAATCTGATGTGTTTTGAGCTAACATTAGCCTAGCATAGTTCTGATTTGCCATTTTCTGACCTCATTCCGTAACGCTTCCAGGAAAGATCTTACAGTTGTTTCAGGAAAGCACTGTGTAAGAGATACCATGAGCTGTTGAGACTGATATCATTGTAGTAGGTTGAGAGTTAAGATCTGTGGTTTGGTGCATGTCTGTCTGGATTCTATGGCATTTCTTCCTGCGCCTGTCTGTCTGAGTCTTGTAATCTGTCTGTCTGAACGCATAGGTACGTGGAGAGAACATGCACCTGCAGCTTGTTTCCTGCCAAAATCTGTTCTGTGCACACACACACATTCCTTTAGTTGCTGATCCAGCCATGCGGTCCACTCGGCAGACGTCCATGTAGTCTATTTGTCTGTCCGCTAGTGTCAGGATGTCTGCTGAAGCTAGCATAGCGCTACCTGACACAACAAGACTGCTGGAAGCCTTTTTCCTTTTGTTGCAGGCTAAGCGCTCTTGATTGTCAACACACACAAAAAAAATGCATTTATATTTGTATTAAGTAATAGAGTATGATTAAAAGGCTAAAAGATTAAATATTAATACAATAAACTCACATTTAATTCAGTTTTGTCTATAAACGTTCATCTTTTCTGACCAAATAATTAGAAGCTCCACAGTGGAAGCTCTGCAGTATTTTTTTTTTTTTACTAAACATGATGGCAAATGTACAGTAGTGGGTCATACAGCTGTTTTATGCATACCAATATATATATAGCCTACTGCATAATGCATAAATAGCAAGCATAGTATGGTAGTATGTTATTCTAAATATAGCCAGTGTGGTTAATGACCTGGAGGCAAAGTCAGCAATTATTTTTAACATATTTTATACATGCAGGTACATACATATTTTATACTTACATTTTGATTAGACTGCTAAAAGTTGGAATAGTTTTACACAAAATTTGATTATAAATGCAAAATGTGCGCATTTATTATTTATTCAACCTGCAACAGTAAAGTTATTTAGCAATGTAGCTTGCTACTCTTTGAAATGTTGAATATTATATACAGTATAAGTTGAACACTGTAAGCAATACTTCAGTATTGCATTCCGAGACAATTAGGTGGAAACTAACATCAATCTTGTTTTTTCTACTCTGTCCTCTAGACAAACCAGGGAACAAGAAACACCCCCAGACTTCTTCTACTTCTCTGACTTTGAGCGACACAACGCAGAGATCGCTGCATTTCATCTGGACAGGTAAGAATAAAACACCTACAGAGAGAAAGAGAGAGTTTTTGCGGGGCCCAGTGGTCAGTTGTGAGAGTTTCGGGAAGTTGTTTCCAGTTTCTATTGGCTATATTCCTTATTTTCTTGTATGTCTGTCTGTTTCAGGGACAAACTGGTACCATCTGAATAACAATGAGATCATGTGACCTTAAGCATTGCAAGAGTTTATGCTTAGCATCCCACTGTGTTTACTTTGTGTTTACTCGGCCTTTATCTTCGTTTGACAGAAATGTTTGGAGGTGTTTAGATATGACAGGTCTGGGAATTTGTTTTAAGGTGTCTGACGTTAATGATAAGGTCGGAAGAGACAATATTAGATTGCCAGTGTATTGGACAATGTCATCATTATTGTCTGAACTTTAAGTTGTATTTTCCATTATTTCAGTTTTTCCCCCCATTATTCTTGGCACTGTGCTTACTAGTTAGCGAAGACAAGCATTATTATTACTACTGCTTATGACTTATGGCTATGGATTCAAAATAACCTAATTAACTAATTATGTTTTGTAATTACTTTTAAGTAAATGTTATTATGTTCAATTTTATTAATAATAATAATAATAATAGCAATGGTAACACTTTACAATAAGGTCCCATCAGTTCAATTTAGTTGATGCATTAACTAAAATGAACTACCAAAGAGCAATTCATTTGTTACAGTGTTTATTAATCTTTAGTTAATAAAAATATAACTGTTCATTGTTTGCTCATGTCAGCTCAGGTCCATTCAATAATATTAATAGATTCAAATTTGAATAGTAATAATGCATTAGTAATGCCGAGATTAAATTAACTAGAATTAATAAATACTAGAATATTAGAAATTATAATTTTTTCATTGTTAGTTCATGTTAACTAATGTAGTTAACTAATTGGAACAAATTGAACCATGTTGTAAACTCTTACTATTATTTATTTTATTTTATTTTTATTTTATGTACCACCAATAAATAGAAAAGTTTTTAAGAAAAGTCCATTATTAAAAATTATTGTGTTATGGTGTATATTGAGCAAGTCTGTTAAATCTGGTAGCCTGCATGACGCTCATCCAAACCCCATTCAACCACCCCAGTAGCCTTTAAGAGGAAATTCCCCTTACAGAGACCTTCAGCTTGGCTTCCTCCCAGTTCTTTCACTGAAAACACCTGTGGTGCTCTGATACTGCTCTAGAATGGACATTGGCCGGGCAAAAGAAACCATAACCACACACACACACACATCTCCACATTTCACTTTTACACACGAGTGCGCTCGCACCATTGTGATGTCAGAAAGCCAAACCAACTCTTATTATATTCTCGCCGCTCTGCGCATGTCACTCAAGACTTTTGGACAACGGCCTGAAAAGCACTTAGTGCGATAGAGTCGATACACCTTACAGTTACTCCCAGAGTAACAAGGTGCATGTGAGTGCAGTCAGAAGTCAGAAGAAACTCCCCGCTGACTTTAACAAGAAGCCCCACAGAGAGAGGCTTTGTGGAGTCAGAGAGCTAATTGAGCTTGTGAGACCTACTCCATTTCCTCTAGAACGTTGTTGCTCTCATTTGAGGCGCCTGTCATGTCCATGATGTATTTTATTTAGGGGAGGAAAAAGCATTGTATGATATGCCAACTTATTGTCAGCTGAGTGATAACGCTTTGCTAGTGAAATGGTATATTGATAGCTTCGCTTAGTGTGAGAGAAACAACTGAATTTTACAAGAAATGTTGTGCTACTACAGTACTCTCAACTTCATCGCAAACCACTTCCTCTCGGTTATACTGTAGCTTATTTCCACAAACGTCCGACAGAATGTTCCTAGAATGCAGTGTTTCCACACTGGGCTCTTTGTCGCCTGCGTCCAGAGTGACTCTGCAACTTGCGACCCCTGAGTGGTTTCATCTCAAAGGCTTGGGTTTCTGTCTCTCAGGGGCCAGGAGCCCATGCACCACACGATGTGGGATTTTCTCTGAGGCGGCCCACTGGACACAGACAAAGACTGAGAGATGAACAAACCCTCCAGCATGCGTGTGCGCCATTCAGAATTGAATTCAGAAAGAATTTTAAATTGCAATTAAATTCTTCTGTTTGAGTTGAAATTGCAAACAGGATGCAAATTCAAATTGTAATTCCAGTTTGAATTTAAAGAAGTTAAACTGAAATGATGGAAAATATGGAAAATCTTCTAACTGTTCTTAGTGTAGTTTATAATAATGTTTCATTTTTCAGTATCAATTACATATAAATATATTATCATACACACAACATATGGAGTCTTTTATTCATAATCATTGGTTGACACTCCTGCAGATATTTATATTTAGTATTAATTAATTTAATAGTAGTAAACTGACCATGGTAAGATAAAAATACTCACTATGAACTAGTTGTTTATTAGCATGCTTATTATTAACATGTTGGTTGTTTATTAGTACTCAAAGCACATATTCTTCATGACCATATTTTAGATCCCTTAATCCACCCCATACCTAAACTAACAACTACCTTGCTAACTAGTAATAAGCAGCAAATTAAGAGTTTATTAAGTTAATTAGTTTATTGAGTTAATAGTTAATAGTGCGAATTGATCCCCCAAACTAATGTGTGATCTTATAAATATTATATGTTTATATTTAATCAGTTAACTTCCACTGACATTTTTTTTTATTATTATTTCATGGTGCGGTGCTGTATAACAAATTAAAAATTCTCTCTCTCTCTCTCTCTCTCTATATATATATATATATATATATATATTAATTTTATTTAATTTGTATTTACATTTAATAAATTCACTCTCATTTTAGATGTGGTGCTATATGGCAAAATTCAAATGCATTTGATGTGTCATTTGTTTTGACATTATTAAACTTAGTTTAGAGAAGTATGTCTAGTAATTGAGGAAAATATTCTACATGTTAAGGGATAAAAACCACATATTAATAATGCATATTTGTGTGTTTTTATTGGAAATCTTCTGTTGAATTTCTGAAAATTGCATTCTGTATTTTTTTCTCCATCATTCCAATTTAACTTCTTGTGAGGCGTGTGGCCAGTTTAATTAAAAACTCACTCATAATTGAAAAAGAGCCAATTCTGACTTTTGCCCAGCACAAGTACACAAGAAAGACAACATGAGAGAGAAACTAGAGGGCATTTATATCCTGTGGTGTGTGGCCACTGGCCAGATGCTAAAACGCCAATAAAAGTCTAATAAAGAGCAATCACGGAGGTGTCATAAAGCCAGTGAGTAAAGAGTGGGCTCAGTTGCTTAGCAGTAGCACCTTGAAGAAAAAAATCATTACCCAGCCACTTTAGAAATGGCTTTATTCTATGGATTTTCTGCGCTCTTTATTGTTTGTTTCCTCATTATTGAATGCGGCAGGAGATTGAATGTCTGGTGTCACTGTTCTCATAAAGCAGCCTGTGAACTGTGCAAGGCCTGCGTGAAGAAACACCACAGGTGTTGTTTCTGATAATGCATTGCAAATGAATCGTTTGACAATGTCGTTTGTTTGTGGCGCACAGAATCCTGGATTTCCGGAGAGTTCCCCCGGTGGCCGGCAGGCTGGTGAACATGACACGGGAGATCCGAGACGTGACCCGTGACAAAAAGCTCTGGCGGACATTCTTCGTATCCCCAGGTATGAGTGGCTTCGGCAGGGCCTTTTCTTCTACCCCATCAGGCCATGCTTCCCCCTGATTGTTGGCTTCTCACGCATATAGAGTTCAGACAATGGGAAAATCCAAATTTCTGAGAATCAGACAGTCATTCAGTTTCATGACAAACTTCCCTGTGGTGTCGAAGTGTTAGCATTTAGCTAAATTTGTTGCATAGTTTAGCATGTTAGCATCTTGCTATGTGTATTTTTGACTGCTTATTCCTTTTTTAACAGCTTAAAAAGTCCATAAAGAGCCATTAAACTAACCAATTATGGGCTGTGACAAATATTAGCACAAAAAGCGTGCAGTAGACCAGCCATAGACCAGCTAACGACACCCAGCCAAGATGCTAGGCTAATTACAGCCTTTAATTGGGGAGTAACAAGCATGCAATAACACACGTGCAGCTAGTTTGGCAACTAAATTACCGACATTTAGATGATGTAAGTGTTCGGATGAGGCACACAGATTGGCCATATTCTTTCTCTGCAGGGCTATCATTAGCATTCTGCCTCCACTTTTCATGACAAATGTGTTTTTGTGGGAACGAGTGAAAGGGCTCCGCTTCCCCCGGGGAGCCATGTCAGGAAACATTTGAAAAAGGCGTTATACATAATGATTCATCATTGGCTAAACAGCAGCGTTTAATGAGCCCTTGGTGAATCCGAGCATTTTAGATCACTGACATCCTTCATCAAATAAAGGCACATCTGGAGAAGTCACCTATTTCAAAAGCATCTTCTGCAAACTGTAACACTATAAACAAGGCTGCTGCACAAAAGATTGCCATAGTTAGCATGTTGTTGCTGTCAAATTTGGTTACCATCATGATTGTGGACAGTATGGCTTGGCGTTATGATGATATACACATATGTGTCAACTGTATTTCCTGCCACATAGATACGTTTATGTGGCTATTACTGAGAACGGCTGCTTTTGGACATTTAATTGCATGTTATTTGCAATTAAATGAAAATGAATTATAGTTTAAATTTATATTAAATGCAATAAGCTAAACCTTAGAGTGCTTTTGACCCACTTAAGTAGAATTTAATACATATTTATGTCTTTTCATAATTACTTCAATTGTGCAGAAATAAGGTTGAATGTACTGACGAGCATTTATGATAAACTAAAATATACTTTAATGTTATTTCTATTGAACCTTGTATGTTATGTATTTAAATAATTTAGAATCAAGTACATTACATATGCTCTAGTATGTCAGTCAACACATCAAAATAATCACAGCAAGACAAAAGATTATTAAGCATAATGATTTAAAATGTACTTTAAAGTAAAACTTTTAATTTGACATTATTACAAAATGCACTTTTTAAAGGTACTGTGATAATGTACATAGTATAAGCACCTTTAGAAGCATAGTCATGAAAGTGTCTCTCTTTAAATACACTTAAGTGCCCTTTTATTTCCCTGCCAAAAAAAAACAATAGAAACCATCACAAAAATTCTAATGGTTTCCACTACAAATACCATTACAGACCATCAACTTTTAACCATTAAAACCAATAAGAAATGCTTTCCTGCAGTGTGTTTTGGGACATATTCCATTAGGATTTAGTGGTTTTAACAAGCCACCAATAGAAGGCGACCAATTACTAGTAGAGACCAATAGGCACAATTAAAATTTCCATTAAAACCAGTACAATTCCCATTATAACCAGTACAACCATTACAAAATCTGTGATGGTTTCTATAGTTTTTTTTTCAGCAGGGTTAATTAATATTAAATATGTCTGCAAGTACAGTTTAGTTAAATATGCTTTTAAGATTTGAGGGGAGTTTTACTATTTTAAGTCTTTTGTGCTTATATAAATAACCACATTACATGGTTATGGTGTGTATCACAAAATACTTATTTTGGGAAAAAAAGTTAATATATGATATATAATTCATTATTATTATATTATTATTATTTAACTTTATGAACGCAAACCAAAATATAAGATTATTTATTCATTAAAAATCAATGCATCAGTGAAAAACAGCTGCTTCACGTTATATAAAACTTGACTTAAATATCTGGGGATTCCGAAAGGTTGTAGGTTCAAACCCAGTAATGGGCAATCAATGAGCTATTACCATTGTGTACTTGAAGACACTTAATCCCATGTTACTCCAGAGGGACTTTTCCTTTCTCTTTGCTTCACTGGTGGTCCATTTTAAACCCCCCAAGAACAGTTTTCTCTTTCCTAAGACCTTTTCTTCCTCACCTCTGCAGCCAACAACATCTGCTTCTATGGCGAGTGCTCCTACTACTGCTCCACAGAACATGCCCTATGTGGGAAGCCCGACCAGATCGAGGGCTCCCTGGCTGCATTTCTTCCTGACTTGGCACTAGCTAAGCGCAAGACCTGGAGGAACCCCTGGCGCCGCTCCTACCACAAACGCAAGAAAGCTGAGTAAGCTCTTTTTCTCCGCTTTATCTCCGGTCTCCACGCACCACCCCATATCTTCATTAAACTACAGTCTGGCTTTATCAGCAAAAAAGACTACTGCGGTTCTCACTTACTCTCAGAGAAATCCTATCTGTGCAGTAAAACAATGGGCCATCCTGTTTGAGATGGCAGTTGTGCGCTAGTAGGATTATATATGAGAAGGGACAAAATGCAGCTCAAATTTAAAGGTGAAGTGAGTTTCTTATTCGTTTTCTCTATTGTAAGGTGGGAAGTGGATCCGGACTATTGTGATGAAGTCAAACAGACTCCTCCGTATGACCGAGGCACACGACTTCTGGACATCATGGACATGACTATTTTTGACTTTCTAATGGGTAAGTGTTGAACATGTTTAAAAACGTGTTTATAAAATTTTGCTTAGAAGTATAGGGGAAACTGGGGGAAAAATTACTTTTCACTCCATGAAGTTTTTTTAGGGTAACTTTATTTTTACATTTTTGCATTTTTGAATTAAATGTTTGTGTAGACTCATGAAGTCTTATATAAAATTGAACATTTTCCATTATCGCCCAGGAAAGAGACACAGCTCATTGGATGCAACTTTTGTGACAACATGCCCCTATAGTGGCAACTAGTAAAAACGTATGCATTCTAAGTGGATCCGGACTATTGTGATGAAGTCAAACAGACTCCTCCGTATGACCGAGGCACACGACTTCTGGACATCATGGACATGACTATTTTTGACTTTCTAATGGGTAAGTGTTGAACATGTTTAAAAACGTGTTTATAAAATTTTGCTTAGAAGTATAGGGGAAACTGGGGGAAAAATTACTTTTCACTCCATGAAGTTTTTTTAGGGTAACTTTATTTTTACATTTTTGCATTTTTGAATTAAATGTTTGTGTAGACTCATGAAGTCTTATATAAAATTGAACATTTTCCATTATCGCCCAGGAAAGAGACACAGCTCATTGGATGCAACTTTTGTGACAACATGCCCCTATAGTGGCAACTAGTAAAAACGTATGCATTCTGTCTCCTGGAAGTTGTGTAATAGCCAGCCAGACACATTGCTTAATATGGCCAATGAACTATGAAAATAAAAAATAGAATTAAAAAAAAAAAAAAGTTCATTGTGATATACAAGTTAAAAAATAAGAAACAGAGACATTGTGAGATATAAAGTCACAATGTGAGGTAAAAAAAAATTTGAGATTATAAACAGTCAAATTTAGGAGATATGCAGTAACATTAAGAGATAAGTCAAACCAACGCTATCTCACGACCAATTCGTACGCATTTTACGAGGTGGCTAATTCGTGCGAATCCGTATGACATCAATCGTACGATTTTGTATGATTTGTCTAGACCCCAGTGACGGGTAGGTTTAGGGGCGGGGTTAGGTGTAGGTCATTTGTACAAATTCATACGAATTGTGCAACTCGTAAAATACATACGATTTAGCAAAAATCGTATGAATTTGTACGAGTGAGGCCGTACGAATTAGCCACCTCGTAAAATATGTACGAATTGCCATGAGATCGGGCTGGTGAAACTGTGAGAAAGTCACAGCTGGGAGATATACAGTCACATTGCAAGCAAATAAAGTTGCATTGCAAGGTTTTAAAGAATGTCACTGAGATATAAAGTCACATCTCAAGATAAACTCACATCTGGTCACATTGTAAGATGGAGTGACACTGTGATATATAAAGTCACAACTGGAAGATATAAAGTTTTAATTTCAGAGAAATAAATTAACAATTTTGAGATATAAAGTCAAGTTGTAAGATATAACGTCACAATAGGAAGACATACAGTTGCAAATTTAAGAAACAAAGTCACATTGTGATATAAAAAATTCACACAGCAAGATATAAAGTCACAACTAGGAGGTATAAAGTCAATTTCGAGAAATAAAGTCACGATAGGAAGATATAAGGTCACGATTAGATGACTTTCAGATCAGACTTTTAGATCAGATAAAAAGCCATATTGTGAGAAAGTCAGTTGGGAGATATACAGTCACATTACAATAAATAAAAAAATCGCTGTGAGATATAAAGTCACACTGCAAGATAAAGGACACAATTGGGAGATATAAAGTCTCAATTACAAGAAACAGTCACACTGTTAGATTATAAAAAAGTCACATTGTCAGAAAAAAAAGTTGAATTGCGCAGAAGTCACAGTTGTGGGATTTACAGTAACATCGCAAGAAATAAAGATACTGCGAGAAAAAAAAAAGTCACTGTGAGATATAAAGTCACATTGCAGAAGTCACACTGCGAGATGTAAAGTCACAGTGGCAAGATGCAAAGTCTCAATTTCGAGAAATAGTCGCAATCTTTAGATATAAAGTCACAATTACAATAGTCGTACATATGATAACAGTCACATTGTGAGATAAAGTCATATTGTGGAATAAAAAGTATATAAAGTCACACTGCAAAATATATAGTCATTAACTAAAAGTATAAAGTCTAAATTTTGAGAAATAAAGTCAATTTTGAGATGTGAAGTCACAATTACAGGAGTCATATACATAATAACAGTTATTGTGAGACATAAAGTCACATTGTTGGATAAAAGAAAGTATATAGTCACTTTGTGAGATAAAGAAGTCACACTGCAAGATATAAAGCCACAACAAGAAGTGTAAAGATTCTGAGAAATAAAAACTTTTTTGAGATATAAAGACAGAGATATAAAGCCACGACTATGTTAAGTATAAAGTCTCAATTTCAATAAAGTCACAGTTGCAAGATATAAATTCACAGTCTGTGGGTGATCTCTGGATGTCTCTTCAGAGCTTGAGAGTGTTTTGATCCATTCATGAGCCGTGTGCCCTTGAGCGAGGCTGTTAACCTCAGGTTGATCTGAGGGAATTTCCCCTGTTCATCAGAAGTTCCTGGTGCTTTTCTGAGAGGACGTTGTGTGAACACCATAGAAACCAACTCCTCCAGCCCTACTTGTGTGTGGATAAATATAGATTCTGATTCAAGTGTCAACTCGAACAGTTTTAAGTGTCAACATTAGTCATCAAGACGACTAAAATTATCAACTGCAGAAGTGGAATGTGTTGAAAATAACTTAAAGGAGACCTACTATGCCCCTTTTTAGCCTACAATATGAAATGTAAGTCTCAGAATGTGCCTGTGAAGTTTCAGCTCAAAATACCCCACAGATCATTTATTATATAATTTTGAAAAAGCCTATTTTGAGTGGAAGCAGATACACGCTGTTTTAGTGCATGTCTCTTTAAATGCAAATGAGCTGCTGCTCCCCGCCCCCTTTTCCAGAACAAGGCTGTGCTTTTACAGCTGGTACCTCAGATACTCTGCTAAAAAACATCTGTTTGGTTTTGATTACCGTGTCTATGGTACAGTGACCGGGAGGGGACATGTTCGGTTCACTTAGTTTTTTTCGTGGGCATGACATATTAGCTCGTGGGAACGTGATAATATGTTGTGGCCACAAGATATTAATTAGTGGGAACATCATATTAACTTGTGGGAACATGATATTATGTCGTGGCCACAAGATCATTTTGTCAAGGTAACGACATCCATTTCTCGTGGCCATGACTTCTTATGTAAGGGAACGATATATTTTTCTCGTGGCCACGAGTTTAATGTGTAAACAAACCTGCATGACCATAGTAACCTGAGATTATCAGAGATGGAATTATTAATATGTTATTTTCAATTAAGAAATGATTATATTTATAATGATATTAATTATTATAGAAATTATTACATTATTAAATTATTATATTAACCAGGTCTAGGATACAGGACTGTATTGCGCGCGATATAGACAGCATTCGAATGAAGTTTATCATGAATAAAGTACATAAAACATTTTTATCCATCCCACAGTCTTGTAAGTCCATTAACTGATCGTCCTTTTTCCCTAATATTTGTATAATATTATTATTATTATTATTATTAGCCTATTATTATTGGTTATATTTGTATATTCGTTTATATTCGTTTTTCCCTTCATTTCGATTTCTTTACTTAATGTTCTGGGGTGTGTTTCCCAAAAGCATCGTTAGCTAACTATGGTGGTTCGTTCCATTGAACTCTATTGGTAACGACGGAACTTGCGACCATAGTTGCTTTTGGGAAACGCACCCCTGAATAGTTTTGTAAATAATAACCTAAAATATATGATAGCAATTAGGCTAGCATAATTATACAGAACGTTTATTAGGTAAAGCGATACACAATAAATATAAAAATATAGCCCTAACCAGTTAATAAAATAATAATATACAAATATTAAATAAAAAGACAAAATCAGTTAATGGATTTACAAGACTGTGGGATGGATAAAAATGTTTTATCTCTCTCTGATAATCCCGGGTTACTATGGTCACGGGTTTGTATACGCATTAAACTCGTGGCCACAAGAAAAATGTGTCGTTCCCTCAACATAAGAAGTCATGGCCACGAGAAATGAATGTCATTCCCTCAACATAGCATCTTGTGGCCACGACATAATATCACATTCCCACGAGTTAATATGACGTTCCCACGAATTAATATCTCGTGGCCACAACATATTGTCACATTCCCACGAGTTAATATCTCGTGGCCACGACATGTGAGTATTAAACTAAGTTCTCTTTCATGTCTTATTGTGCTTAAACTGTCAAATACACACAAGTTTATGTTAAAAACACACGAGTTACAAAAACAGTCGGTTATGTCTGTGACGGTAAACAGCTGGGAGAGAATTTGCATGTTTATATTAGATCTGTGTGGCAGGCAGCAGCTTAATATACAGTAAATAACTCAATAAATCCACTGCTCTCTCGTCTCCTCTGAGGCTGGGACTCGAAATAGTGATCTGTGCTCATCAGTGCAGCCAAAGACAGAACAGTTAGCATGCTTTGCTCGAACTTTCACTATGGTGTTACTTTCAGTTGCAAAAACACAATGGCGGCGCCGTGGGTGGAAACTTGCAGTAATATTATGATAAGATCCCCATTCTACGTCACGGGGGGTAACGAAATCTGAACAGCTTGTTTTTCACAAGCTTGCAGAGAAAGGCTGTTCTTTTTCACGTTTAACTTAAAGGAGCGATGGACTTCCGTTTTATCTTTTCTTCAACATCCCACATCAATCTTCCTGTATTTCACTCTCCCTCTCTCCTTTTTCGCACTGAACAGGCAACATGGATCGCCACCATTACGAGACTTTTGAGAAGTTTGGAAATGAGACTTTCATTATTCATTTGGACAACGGCAGAGGGTAAGCCGCTTTTATTATAGAATAACGTCCTCACCGTCCTTCACACCTCGCTCCTCAAAGCTCCACACGACTCCACAGCCACTTCCTTTTTACACTGAAACCATGGAAACAGAGTGTTTCTATCTTAAGAGGCGTGAATATGTAGATGTTGAGTGGAAGGTCAGAATTATATGGCGTCATGTCTCAGGGTGTAATATGTGTGCCATTGAAGGGCTCACAGTGGGTAGTCACACAGGTGCTCGCACAGATAAAGGATTTTGATTAAACTGACATTCTGCTCGACTGAAGTGGCTGCTTTTTCATTCTCTACATTTGTTACTGAAGTAAGCCACTGTGTAGAGCCATAGGTCTCTCAATGCCAGATTAATCTAAGTCCCGACTAAAATTTACATTTATTTTCTTCTATTTGTGTGAAATTTATACTGAACTGAATTTCTGATGGGGTTTTACTGCTACAAGTAAGTTGCAAGGTCCTATCATGAAGTTATATAAAGGACTACTCTTTATATGTCAGTACTTTTGTTGAAGTTGCTATTCTGCTATTACTTGTGTTACATATGCGGTTTTGCAGGATGAAAATAATACATTTTATTATACTTTTAAATAAGAATATAACTGTAAAATGTAAGATATGGCCTCTGAAAACACATTTCAGCCCCACTGAACCACACCAGTAATGTGCTGTACAATTTGACTTACCAATATGAAAGTAATAGTGAAAGATGAATGTATAATGACAGAAAGTGATTTAAGCGTCCGTCATATAAGCTGGGTTTTATTTCTTCTTAAATAAAGACCTGAATGTACAATTTGGTGAGCTCTTCATATTCTAACTTTTATGTCTGGTAAATATTTGACCCAAAGTTGGGTTGAAACAACCCAGCATTTTTTAGAGTGTAAGTATAGTATGTTGGAAATGGTTCTTGAGCGTTTTAGCATCTTTACCCTAGTAAAAACAAAGTACACTTTAGCATACTTTTAAAGAGTACTTATTATGGCAGTAATATACTTTAAAAGAATATACTGAAGTGTGAACTGAATGTAATGCCGTCAGACACTTATTTGCATGTTAATTGCAATTAAATGAAAATGTATTATATTTTAAATGTGTAATAGATGCACTTAGCTGAACTTTAAAGTGCTTTTTGAGTCACCAAGTATGACTCAAGTACATCTTTAGATGTAGATTCATAATTTGTTCTATTGTCTTTGAAATAAAAAGTGCACTGCTAATTGCACTGACAAACATTTATGGCGAACTAACATCATTTCTATTGAAACTTGTATGACATGTATTTGTAAGTATACACATTTGTAATACTGGAGTTGTAATTTAGTACATATAAACTATTAACTAACCGTCATGAAAGTGTCTCTCTTCAAGTGCACTTAAGTGGCCTTTTATTTCATTAATATTATATTATCCGCAAGTACAGTTTTTTTTAAACATGCTTTTAAGATTTGAAGTACAATACAAGTACACAAATAAAGCACACTTTTTCACCAGAGAACCATTTAAAAAATATCTCTCTAACCCCACAGATTTGGAAAGCATTCACACGATGAAATGTCCATCCTGGTCCCTTTGACTCAGTGCTGCAGGTAAGATTGTTTTTCTCCACTTTCAGACATCTCTTGAATTGAGGCAATGGCCTCCCAACTGAGAGAGTGACTGCAGTGCAGTAATTCAGTATAGCACCGACACAACCGCATCCTGCTGTCTGCTGTGCACTGTTATTCTAGCTGTATCCTTTATTGCACATTTACATTTATTTCCTGTGGCTGATGTTTTCTTGCTAGATCAATCTATATGAATGGCTGCAAAAAACACTGACTGTGTCCCAATTTGCATAATTCTGCAAGCTGGTCGTAGTACACTCCACTTTGTGGCTAAATTTGCTATTCTAAGGGGCCATTCACACAACACACATTTTGCATTCCACTTGACTACTTTCAGATTATTTTTCTATGCAAACATTCACTAGACAGTTGTGTATTGAACTCACGCCTTGTGTCTTTCGCAGAATCTCACGCACAACACGTTGTTCTAAAAATTCTCATTTGGCACTCGTTTAAAATAAATCCAGTAAAAATAAGTTTGTTTTTAATTCTACTGCTCGCCTTTCATGTAGTTTGGTGCAAAAATTTGTTCTGTCTGAACGTTCCTATTGGAATTGAAGTTTTACTTTTATTCTCTCATTTTTTCAGAATTTTCAAAATTTTCCTTTTTAATGGTTAAAATAAATGTAAGTATTTAAAAAGAATGTCTAATTAATTTAATGATCATAAACTCATATAGTTTAACAATAACTTACTAAAAGTTTAATAAAAAAGTATGGTCACACTTTATTTTAAAGGGATACTCCACCCCAAAATGAACATTTTGTCATTAATTACTTACCCCCATGTCGTTCCAAACCCCTAAAAGCTTCGTTCGTCTTCGGAACACAATTTAAGATATTTTGGATGAAAACCGGGAGGCTTGTGACTGTCCGATTGACTGCCAAGTAAATTACACTGTCAAGGTCCAGAAAAGAATGAAAGCAAGCAGCGTACGCTATTCTGTGTCAGCCGCGACACAAGGATAAGTTTTCTACGTGTATTTACGCTTTGATATGAACGAAAACAGCGCATCCCTGCAGCGTGGCTGACACAGAAGAGCGTACGCTGCTTGCGTTCAGTGGATATTCTCCAAAATGGCACTACGGTGATGCGGAGAGACACAGAGGAGACGAATTGTTGAATAAAGTCGTTATTTTAGTTTTCTCGTCGCTTCATAACGTTACGGTTGAACCACTGATGGCAGATGGACTATTCTGACGATGTCTTTCATACTTTTCTGGAGCTTGACAGTGTAATTTACTTGGCAGTCAATCGGACAGTAAGTGATTAATGACAACATTTTCATTTTGGTGTGGAGTATCCCTTTAAGGTCCAATTCTCGCTATTAACAAATCATTATCTATACAAATTTTTGCCTCAATAAACTCCTAATTTGCTGCTTAAATTAATAGCTAGTAAGGTAGTTGTTAAGTTTAGGTGTTGGGTAGGATTAGGGATGAATATGGTCATGCGGAATTTGTGATTTATAAGTACTAATAAACAGCCAATATGCTAATAATAGACATGCTAATAAGCAACTAGTTAATAGTCAGAATTGGTCCCTATACTAAAGTATCACCAAAATTACATTTGAAGGATGAAACCCATTTTATTTTTCCCAAAATATGTGTTTTTCATTTAAAACTTTCTGGATACCATAATGGTTTAATAAAAATGTAATAATCAGAAATAAAAATGTTTTTATTTATCTATTGATTTTACAATAATAAGGCCCTATGAAATGTTTATGTTTGTTGTCTATTTAAATTTTTCAGAAATTATGATAATACAAATATATTATCACAAATGGTGGTGATAAAATAAAGGCGTAATACATTAACAATTTAACTAATCTTTTAAAATGTATCAATTCCTTTTTATTCTTTGGCAAACAAAGTGCCAAAGGTTGACTATTAAAATTAAAACATGGAAGAAAACTTGTATGACATTCCTTAAATAATAAAGTTCTAAACATTATTATTATTATTATTCTGAAAAGTACTTTCTACCGTTCAAAAGTAATAGATTTCAACTTTTAACTTGACGGGTTGTCATGAAGACCTTTGAGTTTTTGTTTGTATCTATCTGACAAATATTTTATCTAATGAAATGCTTATGAAGTGAGCAGCTCTAGAGATTAAGTCCATGTGTTTCAAATTTCCAGACATTCCACGTTATACTTTAAATTCCATTTTTATAACTGGATCTTACAATTCCATCTGTATTTTCATAGAGCCCTATACACTAAACAAATTAGCTGAGTTATACCTTTTACCGTTCTCTCTCTCAGAGTGAAGAGGTCGACGTATCTGCGGCTACAGCTGTTGGCTAAAGAGGAGTTCAAGCTGAGCTCTCTGATGGAGGAATCGCTACTGCAGGACCAGTTGGCACCCATCCTCATCCAGCCCCACCTGGAGGCCATGAACCGCCGCCTGCGCCTGGTGCTCACGGTGCTGGCCGACTGCGTGGAGAAAGAAGGCTTCCCATCAGTGGTGGAGAACGACCTGGACGGACAGCCCTCCTCGCACCACCATCAGGCGCACGGAGGGAGGTAGTGAGGCCTGAACCTCGGTTCCCGCCAGTCAGTCCCCCACCATGAGCCCCACCGAGGCTTGTGCTCGAGTCACACTCTGAATTCAGTGAATTCCACGACTAGCCACCAATGCCTCTGAGGAGCCACCCTATTGTGTGTGTAGAAGCGGAACTCTGGGACGAAGATGTCGTTTCTGGATGGCCGAGGCTTGTGTTTGAGCTGCACTACATACTTTTCTGTTGCATCCTGATTTGTTTGACAAGTCTGCTGATATAATTACATTTGCATATTTCAAGTTGGCGAGTGTACAGACGAGTTGGAACCAAAAGCTGAAAGAGATGATTTGGGTACTCAGATCTATATATTCAAACACAACTGTGCTCATGTAGGTCTTCGACATAAGGGCACGTAAACGAGCTTTAATGATAGTACTGCAGTGCAGTACTACTGTGCAAGGACACTTAAACGCATCCTTCCCTGTGCGTTCACAATTCGACATCATTTCCTGCCATCTGAACCAAGCCATCGTTTCAATTGCACATTGTGCCATCAAGCCTTCAATCATCGTGTCAGTTTGTTATTTCACTTAAGGTGAAGTGCGCGCTTCATTTGAGGTTATTCAGTGGTGAAGGAGAGAATCACGCTGATTGGTTCTTCAGGCGTCCTGTGCCCGCAGTCAGTGTTTCCCATCTCAGGCCTCATGCTGAATACACCTGCTCTCTCTTAATGAGAACCTTAAGGACGAGCTGATGCTATGCTAGCAGAAGTTCATAATGATGTTAGTCGTACTTCACGCTGCAGGTATCTCGAGTCTCATCTGGTGGAGTGATTTCAGTGCTTGATTATAGAGTAGGGCACAGGCTCGAGGGAATGAAACAAACCAATCAGTCCTAACCAGGAGGCAACAAACCGATAAGTCCTTTCATGTTAAAATAAGTTTTTGTCCTAACCAGGTGACAAGCAATGGCCAACGAGACCAGGGGAGTCCAAACTTGCTCCTCCAACGTACTACAAAACACCTGCCTGGATGTTTCTAGCAGGCCTAAAGAGCTTGATTAGCTGGTTCAGGTGAGTTTATTTAGGGTTGGAGCTAAACTCTGCAGGACAGTGGCCCTCCAGGAGCAGGATTGGACACCTCTGGACAAGACATTTTGGTTGGTTTCTATTTCTTTTCTGAGTCTATTTTTTTTTTTTGTTGTGCTAACGGTGAACTCTGACTGGTCTGAAATCCTGCTTCACATATTTGTGTGTATTATGCTGCGTTCCATTCAGTCAGACGTGGGATCTGATCTCTCATCCGTTTCATTGCTCCGTGTTCAGAGCATGACATAGCAAACCAAATGCTCCTGCCGGTGTTTCGTGGTCTATGAAAATGTGTCCTAGAAATCAGTTTGGGGAGGTTACATAATGGTATTTAGTGCAAGCATTTGTTGTTCTGTGATTATTAACTGAGAGGATCAATCACAGTGTTTTACACCCCCTGTTTCTCTGGTTTTATTATCATGAAATATGGGAACGTGGACTGCTCTGCTCTGATCTGATCTGTCTTATCATAATAAAGGCAGAAATGCCAAAAATAAATCTTTTAAAAAATGTTTTGAGGGAATATCACATTTTCTTACTTTTTTCTTAGGTTATAAAGTAGAATGAAAATAACAGTTAAGAAGAACACTACTCTTAAGAATCATTCGTGAATCCAGCACTGATTAGCAAATTACTCGCCTGTGGAAAGTGGTTATAGGACATGGTATAATGCTGATAGATCGTTTTATAATAGGACATCGTTTCATTCCTACTGTTTTGTTTTGTTTTTCAGCGTTACTCACATATACTGACCTTTCAACAAAAGTTATTATTCCATTGCTCTACATAAAACATGTTTTCAGCTCTCACTTATTTTGTGTTGTGTAAACCATGGCCAAAAAAGGCAAAAGAGTGCCTTTTATCTTTGTGGTGATTGCCACTTTCTCGTTCATTCACTCATATTCACGCCATCGCATTTTAAAGAAGTTTTAGTTGGCCTCTAAATTAACCTTTTGGAAGTAGTTGTGTGTTGTATTTTAAAAGCTCAAAATGCTATTTATTAAGAAAGAGTACATTTGTGAGGAAATCGTGTTGGGTTTTAGGTCTTATTTTGCATTTGAGATTTTTTTTGTGTGTGTGTGCTTTAAAAAGAAGTCCCTGTTCCTCACAGACATTGTAAAGATGATTTGATAGTCTGACTGCTCTGTGTAAAGTGAGGGGCCACATGTAGTGTTTTGTGTTTAACCCCAGTGCCTGTGCAATGCTCAAGAAACTTGAATGTTTTGGGATTATTCACAAACGGACCTTTTAGTAGCCCATGGCCTGGACTCAAAGGTGTTTGGTTTTTTTTAGTTGGCAGTAAGTAATTATGAGATGGTCAAGGCTTCTATTAGCCAAACAGACTTAAAAATGTTCCCAATACTCTCAGTTTTTCTGTACATATCTGTAAATATGATACGTTGATCCAAGAGGCTGTTTTCGGAGCAAAAAAAAAGCTTCAGTTTTCTTTTCCTCTCTTCAGCATTGTTACTGTGAAGATCTGTTTGCAAAATGATAAAAGTGTGCAATAAATGAAGCTATGTTGTTGAACTCTTTTATGTGTAAAAAGCAAAGCAAATAGCAATTGTAAAGGACCAAAAATGCCAAAAAAGTTAAGCCACGGTCACATTAGAGTTTGAGCATGCAATGGTCATAGTAATTTGAAATATTCTATATTATTTAATATTAATTAGTTCATATAGTTAATATAGGCCTACTAAATTGCAACTTCATCACTACAAATGTGTAAATGCAAATGAAGAGTTAATTTGCAAAAACAGATTTCAAAAATATTTTTTTTTTCATTGTGCATTTCAATTAATCTCAATCAAACTGCAATTAGGTTATTTTGATTAGGTTAAAAAATAACTAAAAATGCAGCTAACTAACACAATAATAACATGATAACAATAAAAAACATGATTTTTTTTAAAAATTTAAAAGCGGCGTTATCTGTTTTTGCAAATAAACTCTTCAAATATATTTAAATACATGACATACTATCTGCAATTAGGTTATTTTGATTAGGTTAAAAAATAACTAAAAAATACAGCTAACTAGCACAATAATAACATGATAACAATAAATATCTGTTTTTGCAAATAAACTCTTCAAATATATTTAAATGCATGACATACTATAGTTTCAATAGAAGTGACATTTATATATTTTAGTTTATCATAAATGCTTGTCAATACATTCAGCAGTGTACTTAAACCATATTTCAAAGACAATAGAAGTAAATATGAAATTACGTATAAAGATGTAAGTCCTATTTAAGTGGGTCAAGCATTACTCTAAAGTTCAACTAACTGCTTTTAATATAAATTTAAGCTATAATACATTTTCGTTTAATTGCAAATAACACAATAACATGTACGAAAACCTGACACTCACTTCAGTATATTATTTCCGTAACAAGGACTCTTTTTTTAGAAATATGCTGAAGTGCAGTTCTATTTCACAAGCGGTTGTAGATGTATGCTTGGACTTTTCTCTGTTTGAGCGGTCGCTTTCTGATATCCTTGTGCATATAAAGTTATCAGGTTTACTAGTTTTACCTAGTCATAACAGGAGTTATTAAATAGTAGATAAAACCTTTACAAAGAACATTTTCATCTGGTCTCATGTTAATCGCTCCATAGACTTGCATGGTTTTACAAACTGAGGGACCTAGTGTTGACCTTATTTTCTGTGGTACTAGAGCTCAACCTGTAACATTCCTTTAAGATTTCATACAATACAACACACAAATCAAGTCTATGAAGAAAATACTGTTGCTGTATTTGAATATCTTAAACTCAGCCGCTGGACTATCCGTAAAACGAACCTCAAAAGCAGGCAGATTTATCAGCTCTGTGCTTCTTCAGATATGTGGGGCTGCTCTTACTCTGACACTCTGCCAGGTCACATACAGACATACATTTAGAGCTGATACATAATACCCCTCTAATCCGTAAACCCTCTATCTCTCTCACCCATATCCTGCTATATGCACTTCTATTACCTTATAATCATTCACATGCTGAGGCAGTTACAGGACACACAGGAATGTCACTGTGACCTTAAAAACCTTCCTGTCGACACCATGAAGATGAAGTTCTAGTCTTCAATTACATCTGTTGGTGTCTGTCACCATTTGATAAAGAGCAAAACAGACTTATTTTTTCTGTTCATATGCTTTTTACAAGTGTCACAAAAAAAAAACCTGTAGCATCTCAAGTACACTCAAAAAAATAAAAAATATATTTTTAAGTCAAGATTTATGTATTTTAAGATTTTACGATTTTAAGATCTATGTTTCAATTGTTTATGAAATGTACACAGTTTACACAGTTTTAATATAAACTAACGAACTTAATGTTATGCATGTGTGTCAGTCATATAAATGAAACAGGTAAGAAACGGGTAATATTTCTGTATTAAAAAATTAAATAAAAATAAATAAAAATATGGCATCTATTTAATTGTTATTTGAATCATTTATTGCATGTATTCAAATTGCTTAGAATCAACATAAAGCTGTTTGTTGTGAAAATATGTCAAGGCATTCAATTAAAAAGTATGAACATGGTTAAAGCTGGTATAGCATGGTTAATAAAATAGCTGTCGAACAAGCAATATTCAGCTAGTTAAAATGTATGAGATTGAAACAAATTGGATTTATTGATGATAAATATAGAAACCTGGTTACTGTGTATTTAAAACACATTCAGTTTATTTGTAGCACTGCATAAATCTTTCATTGATGTATGAATGACAAATATGCATCACGTTAAGTTTATTAGTTTGTCATTGTTAAAACTGTGTAATCCAAATGGTTGTCAATTTTCTAAGTAATTCAAATACTTTTTGTGTGTGTGTGTATCAGAGGCAGCAGGACATGCAATTTATTACTTGACCACTGGATGGCGGTACAACGTTTTACAAAAAAAGTGATTTAAATAACATACACTGCACGGAGTGTTTAGCGCTCCGCGATGTTCATCTCGCCTTATTCTGGGTCCGAATAAAACATCAGATCATGCACAGACTATCCTGTCTCTTTGAATTTAAATCTATATTTATTCACACCAGCTCTCGAAAACCTCTATGCGAAAACACTTGCCCGAAAAAGACACGTCCCCCGCGTCCCCCGCGTAATCTACGCCCCTGAATATGCGTATTATCATATCACAGCAAATACTATACAGGATGCCTTCTTCTCTCTTTTACATTTTCAAAGAACCTTCCTTCACAAAGCCAAACCATCCTGAGGCTTTCATGTGAGGAGTACAGTAGGAGGCGTTTCATGTCCTGAAATGGACCCCTCTAAACCTGCGCCCCGCCGAACGGATTAGACGGCAAGATGATGGAGGGGCCAACTGCTGTCTCCAGGCAACAGCTTGTGGCGCACTGTGAGGCAATATCTCACATGTAAACAAAACTGAGATGTTGATGTCGTATTCATCCCCTATTGCTAAACTGCAGGTTGCATTTTAAAAGGGAAAAAGCCTTTTTCACCTTTTCTCTGAAATGAAAAAGCTCTACCTGCAATATCCAAACTCTCAAAGCTGATATTTCACACTGAAAGAGACTTGCATTAGATCTCACGGTGCTTTTGACTCGGCCATTTAGGATTGAAATTGAAATGTATCTACATGTCATTCATAAAGGTCATTACCAATATGTGGCCCTGCTCTTCCCTAATTGCATTTTCCTATGCAAGATCGAAATTACTTTTGCAGGGCAGTGAATTTTCCTTGTCTAGTACAGATTAACTTCAATTAACTTGCAAGTGAAGGGTTATTTTTTAAGTTTAGTGAAGTGAAATATTACATTAAAAAAACAAGGCATTTAATATTCAAGAGGTTTGAGGGGTCTGATTTGGAGCGTTCATGCTGTGACAGTGACAAATTAATATACAAATCATGTAAACAGGACATGCATATTCATCAGACAGACAGGTGGCTTGATTGTGTAGCTTTTAATTAATATTACTTATGAGCTACATTTACATGTGTCATCAGCCCTGAGCAATTTGCAACCAATTGAAAAATCATAGTTTTATTTATTCAAATTCAAGAGATGCAATATTGAGGTTAAGATTTTTTTTTAAATGTCAAAATACATTCTCTTAAAACCAGTTTATTGTTCACTGACTTTTATAAATCATTCAAGAGTTTATATCCCCCCAAAAAAAGAGTTCCCTTTCATGGGAACTTCGAACTGCGTCCTCTACCCATAGCGACCCCTAGAGGACGCAGTGTCTCGTTCCCTACTCAGGGAACCATGGTTACATAAGTAACCTGAGACGTTTTCATTGAGCCTCCCAAGCACCTTTTAGAAACATTTAGAGTGTCCGCCCAGATCTGTCAATCTCTTTCCAGATCAACCAATAGCGAGAGTTTGGGGCGTGGCTACTGTAGCAAGCTGAGCCAAGGGGTGTTTAGCTGGAGTAGCAAAACAAATTCAGATTTCGTTTGAGAAGTGGAAGCAAAACATCGAAAACTTGCTCAAATACACAGAGAAAGACAACGTTGTAAAACAATGTGGCAGAGATTTTACAAGATGGAGGAATTTGACGGAATGTTTAGGTCTCACTTGCAGAATTTCTTCTCCACAGGTAAGCTAAACTTCAAGTTGTTGCCACATATGTTTACTCTTTACTGTCAAGCCCCAGATAACATAGAAAGATACTGTAAGGATAAAAATAACGGGTGTAATGAAAGGCTTTTGCAAAGGTTGTTTAAAAACATGCTTTACTTTTGTTCTTCCACTAGGTGGCAGTAGTAGCACAGAAACTGCATACTTGACCTCTAATTATGACTAATAAGTCATTTAGTTAATGCTTAAATGCAATTTACAGTATGCTAATTACAAGTTAAGTCCCCCTAGAGTAGCCTGAAGTTGTCTTGATCAAGAACACAATAAAGCCCCTTTTGGATTTTAACGTACAGCTCAGATCTTTAAATGTAAGGCTACACCACACCACTGCTAATGATTGTTAGCTTGTATTTTGAGATTAGCCTTCAGACACACACAGCAGCATTTTGAGTGATAGGCTCTAAATAGCAAAATTATCTGCACCTATAATCCTGAAGAGATAGTTATTATGTAAACTCCCATGGAGTATAATGAATGAGATAATCAAGTCAGTCTAACTATCTGTACATTTGTATACTGTCTAAATATTTTACAATAAATTTGAAACATATTATTTCATTCTTAAATCAAAGACTGTAAGTCAGTATTTTTATATTAAGCCATTTACGATCCAACAACTTGATTAGTTCATTCCCTCATAAGAGATACAGTCTTTTACATTTGTATTTTTTTTTCGTGATTTTTTTTACTGCTTTTTTGTTTCAAATCAAAGTTTATACTGTTGAGTTGGTTGGTTTGGTTCAAAGTTCAGATCTCTTTATTCAGAAGTTTGTGTAGCATCATACAAACCTGATGATCGTATCAATCCTACTAATTCCTACAAATTCCTCTGAATTTGCATCCTCTTTGTTTGCATTTGAGTAGAAGTATTACAT